ACAGTCCAGACATTCCCCTCGAGAAACCATCCAAAGCCGCCATTGCGCAGTGTCCAACCCGGAGTTCGGAGCCCTTAATGTTCCCAGTCCATTTATCCCATCGCCAGTACACTCAAAATCCATTCACCCATCATCGTCCGGCCTCGTAGAAATTCCCTCCAACAATATCAGCACTCCGGAGTTAATTCAGCCGCCTCCCATCAGTACTGTCACAATGTCGGACACTCTACCCTCTCGCTACGACAAGCACGCACCTCGCTTCGATCCGGAGCAGCCTCTGACCTTGCTCCGCTATTTCGAGGACCTGGCGGACGTGTTTGCCGCTCATCCAAATGCGGTCCCGAATGACGCAACGAAAAAGGCGGTAGTGGTGAAATACGTGCCTATGTATGAGGAGGAGCTATGGAAAGGCGTCCCAGAATTTTCAGACGACTCCAAGAGCTTCGAGGACTTCAAGGGAGCGGTCTTGGCGTTATACCCAGCCGTTAAGGAGGACCAGAGATATAGCGTCGGGGATATGGACCGTGTAGTAGGGGAAAGGCAGCGTGTGGGCATCCACAATCTGGCGGACCTAGCGGCATTCCATCGCGATTTTCTGCTCATCACTCGCTACCTCCGCAAAAACGACATCATATCCGTTCGAGAGCAAGGGAGAGCGTTCCAGAGAGGCTTCCAGCCGGAGTTATGGAACAAAATATTCAGGCGCCTCCAGATCAAGGACATAGACCACCAACCGGACACTCCGTACAACGTAGATGAGGTTTACAAGGCGGTGGAGTTTATTCTTCATGGAATGTCGGCCATATGAACCACAGAAAAGCATGCGGAGCCATCTCGGAGTGCTCCGAGTGCTCCGGTGGTGAAGACGGAGGACCTATCATCATTGGTGGAGGTCATCACAAAATCCATCAGTCAAGCTCTAGTAGCCGCGGTTCAGCAGAACACTGCGATGGCCCCTGCGATGTCCAACAGACCTGCCCCCATGAATTATAACTGCATCTACTGTGGAGAGCACGACCACTCGATCCGGAGGTGTCCCAAGGTCGAGGAGGATATTAGGGCCGGTCGGTGCAAGCGGAACGCGGAGGGACAAGTGGTCCTGCCAAGCGGAGCGATGGTCTCAAGGTCTATGTCAGGAGCGACGATGAGGGACCGCATATTAGAGTGGCACCGCCAGAACCCTGGGCAGACAAGTGTCCATTTATTGAATACGATGATATGGGAAGAGGTGCGAGCGTCGGAGGCCCCACAGACCACGGACATGTTCCATTTGGATCAGCGGGAGCGAATCGAGGCCTTGGAGCGGGAATTATTTGCGTTGAGAGGGAAAGGGAAGCAGGTTTTTTACGGAGTCTACGTTCCTCCGCCAAATAGGTCTTCCAACCCCTCCAAGGAGTCCGGAGTTGGTCCGGCAGGTCCCGCACCCTCTAGAGCCAAGAGTCAACCGGTACGAGAGCAGCAAGTGGCCGCAGCAGTGCGGCCGGCAATAAATCGAGAGTCCCCACCTCACATGTCAGAGGGACCAATCCATCCATTCTCCGGTGCAAGGGACGTCAACAGGCCCAGGCAGGCAATTCCTCGGAGTGTCGAGAAAGGCTCGGCTCAAGCAGCAGAAGCGTCACAAGCCAAGGAGCCAGCCTATCGCACCCAGGCCCCTGTCTATAATCCTCGCATCTCGGACCTGGTGTTTGAGCGGTCACCCAAGACTCCGAATATTTCTTTGACCTCTGAGGAATTATTATCCATCGCTCCGGAGGTCCGCGCGAAATATAGAGACATTGTGACACCCAAGAAAGTGCCCGCGCCGCCCGCTGTTCGACTCCAAGCCACTATACAGGAAGTAAAGGACGAAGACGATGGTCCGGAGTTGCCAGACGTGGAGCAATTAATGCACAGCGGTAGTTTGATCCGTCCTGGAGTGTTGGTGGTTCCCGACCCCTATGAGATTTATCTCCGGAGTTTAGGTCCGGGGGAGACGCCGAAGCAGTTGGTTGTGGCCAAGGAGTCTCATGCGTTGCGGTCCATTATGGGGCTCATAGACAACCAGGAGAAGGTCGAGGTGATTTTAGATCCAGGTTCTCAGATCGTAGCAATGTCGGAGGCGGTTTGCCATTCACTGGGACTTCAGTACGACCCTACAATTCAGCTCCAGATGCAGTCAGCAAATAAGACCATCGACATGTCGTTAGGGTTGGCGCACAATATTCCATTCCAGGTCGGGGACATCACGGTTTATCTCCAGATCCATGTTATCCGGGACCCAGCCTATGACATTTTATTGGGACGCCCCTTTGATGTATTGACCGAAAGCTGCATCAAGAATTTTAAAAATGAGGACCAGACGATCACGATCAACGACCCCAACTCCGGAATTCTTTCCACCATTCCGACCTTCCCAAGAGGTCGCCCTCGATTTCGAGGCCCCGCCTCTAGAGTGGGATGATTTATTTTTAGGTGACTCGGACGAGGAGCAGTGGGAGGCCCTTGTCATCGAAGAGACAGATACCCCTGCCCGGTTTCAGATTTCTGCGTTCCATATTTTAGATCATCAAGAAAATAGCAAAACCTCAATACAAGATTCCTTTTCTTTCCTTTATCTCTCCGCCTGCGAGTCTCCAGTGGTCCGGTCATATTTTTCATCCGTTAAATTATTCAGTGGTGTACCGAATTCGCCAGTTCCGATTTTTGCTGCCACAAAGAAAAGTATAAACCAGTCGCCAAGAAGGTCCGAGCGGTCCCTGCAACATTGCCTAAGGAATATAGGATCCAATGCAATATTGTAGGAGACCCGCTGGCCGACATGCTGATTTTATCCACAATTCCCCCTTCCTTCCAGCCAACCGGACGATATTCACAAGAGTGTAGGGATGCGCTACACAAGGCCCATCCTAGCGGATTTCTTACGGAAGCGGAGTTAAATCTAATGGACGAGTTTATGTGCAAGCACGACCAGGCGTTTGCCTGGAATGACTCGGAGCGTGGCCGATTTCACAAGGACTTCTTTCCGCCCATTGAATTCCCAGTACTCCCTCACACGCCGTGGATCCAGAAGAATATTCCCATTCCGCCTGGTATCCACAACGAAGTCTGCGCAGTAATTAAAAAGAAGATTGTGGCAGGTGTTTATGAGCCGTCTAATGCTTCTTACCGCTCCAGATGGTTCTGCGTACTCAAGAAGGATGGGAAGTCGCTCCGGCTCGTTCATAGCTTGGAACTGCTCAATGCCGTCACGATTCAACACTCCGGCGTCCCTCCGATCCCTCAACACATGGCGGAGCAATTTGCAGGACGCGCCTGTGGCGCTATGTTGGATTTATACGTGGGATACGACGAGCGAGAAATTGCGGAGTCGTCCAGGGACCTTACTACTTTCCAGACGCCCTTCGGAGCGATGCGACTAGTCACCCTGCCCATGGGATGGAGTAATTCGGTGCCCATATTTCACGACGACGTGACCACTATCCTCCAGCCCGAGATACCAGACGTTACAATTCCCTATATCGATGATGTGCCGGTCAAAGGACCTCCGAGCCGTTACATCCAAGCGGACAGTACCTATGAGACGATTCCAGAAAATTCAGGCATCCGCCGCTTCGTGTGGGAACACTTCCAGAATCTCAACCGTGTCGTCCAGCGAATGAAGTACTGTGGGGGAACATTTTCGGGCTTAAAGCTCACCCTCTGCGGTCCGGAGATTGTAGTTATCGGACACCGCTGTACCTATGAAGGCCGGATCCCTGATGAGTCGCGCGTGGAGGTCATCCGTAATTGGGGACCCTGTAAGTCGCTTTCTGAGGTTCGCGCTTTTCTAGGGACGGTCGGAGTCCTCCGTATTTTCATCCGGAACTTCGCACATCGCGCCAATGCTTTAGTCCAGCTTACTCGTAAAGGCGTACCGTTTGAATGGGGTCCGGAGCAAAGTCTAGCACAGGAGGACCTTAAGCAGGCCGTCCTAGAGTCGCCGGCGTTGCGTCCTATTGATTACACGTCGGAGTCCCCAGTCATCCTCGCTGTGGATACCTCCTATATTGCCGTAGGGTATTATCTCTGCCAACAGGACAGTGAAAATTCCAAGCGCCGATTTTATAGTCGATTCGGCTCCATCACCCTCAATGACCGCGAGCGACGATTCTCCCAGCCCAAACTCGAGATCTATGGCCTGTTTCGCAGTCTCCGAGCACTCCG